GAGGGTGTCCAGGCCCACACGAGGGTGTCCAGGCCCACACGAGGGTGTCCAGGCCCACCTGGGCCGTCGGGGAGGGGAGGTGGTCCCAGACAGGAGTCCTCAGGCTTGTGACCCAGGCCCCAGGAGCTGGTCCCCCTCTGGCCCCTGCTATTACCTATTCATCAAAACCTGCCCGTTTCTGTGCATTTTTCATTACAAGAGCCAACATTTGCCACGTTAATAAAGCGAGGGGCTGCTTTTCTCCTCTCCGAAATGGAATATGTAACGACTCGGCCCTTTGATGTCTCCCAGCGAATACAATATGGATCTGAACGCGGTTGAAAGCCGCCTGTTAGGGCCGCGGAGGCGGAGGGACAGAGGGACCCGGCGCAGGGGGCGTTGATGGAAGAGGATCCGGGGCTCCCAGGGGACAGCCCAGCCCAGCCCCCCAGAGAGACCTCGCGGAGCCAGAAGAGCGACTCCAAGACCTTCCACCCTCTGGAGCCACCCCACCCGTGATGGTGACATCCACAGGTTGAGCTGGGGCCCTAGGACAGTTCTGAAGCCAGGTCCTGGACCAAGGCAGGGTGCAGGCCAGTTGTAGGGTCACCCACAGTGTCGTGGGAGGAGGAGGGCCGTGGTGGAAGATGTGTCCCTTCCTGTGGGTCCTCTGTCCCCCTCGGGTGGGACCTTGAATGTACCTGTGCTTAGAGGCAGTGTGGCATCTGCTACGACAGGAAGGCTTTGACACCAAAGCAACAGCTGCCCTGAACACCTGTGATGTCCGCAGTCGGGTGGCAGAGAGGGGCCCACTGTGACACGTGTGTACCCAGCAGGGAGCCGGCCACAGGTGGTGGGCAGGAAGGCCACTGGGGGTCCTCCTGGCCCTGGTGCCCAGTGTGGCCACATCCCATCTTCAGACAACAGTGACCTCGGAACAGTCAAGACGTGAGTTTCTTTGGCAGGTGACACCCACCCCCACGTCCACCTCCAGGAGGGACGGAAAAGAAAGCCACCAGTAAGCCCCGTGTCCCTGGCTCCTCGCCCCTTTCCATCCTGCTGCCTACCGTCCCTCGTCCTGCTGTTTGGGCAGCACCTGGAGTGGCCCGAGGCAAAGGCTGGGGAGGGCGCTAGCTCTTCCAGTCACTGCGGTGGCCCTGGGCCAGCCACACGGCCCCCGTGCCTCAGCGTCTTCACTTGTAGGTGGGAGTGACAGCAGTGCCTGTCCCACGGGGCTGCCATCGTCAGTCTCCATGGCCCCCTCCCTGCACCTGGTCACCCTGTCCCCGTCCTTCCGATGCATCCCATAGGTTGGGGACTGTGAACAGAAAGGTAGCGGGAGTCCCCAGGGCCTGGGGGTGCTGTGTCACTGCCTGGGTGAGGCCTGACCCTGCTCTCGCAGCCTGAGATGGGCAGGGGCCAGTTCCACCTCCCGGCTGCCCGAGGTGCTGGGCTCCAGCCCACGTTTGCCGCTGGCTGAAGCTGGGCTGTTTGCCGACTGGCTCCAGCCTCGTCCACTCTCTGGACCGTCCTGATCCCCGTAAGGACACGGAGACTCTGGGGTGCAGGGAAGGCGCCTCGGGGCTCCAGGGAGGCAGCCGGTACTGGGGGCAGCTGGAGCCTCACCTGAAGGCCCAGGAGGATCCGGCTGCAAGCCTCGGTGGCCTCACCCGGGAAGTGGAGCTCCCATGACCCACTGAGGCCAGCTGCTCAGTCACAGGGTCCACTCAGGAGCCACGTGGGCAGGAGCGTCACACCAGAACCCAGAGCACCCCTCCAGCACCAGCTCCTGGTGGAGAGCTGCAGCAAGGCACAGGTGCCCAGTGCCATGCCAGGCCCAGGTACAGCCTCTCCCCCTGGGGACCCAGCTGGGAGGGGAGAAAGGCAGTGACCAAATGTCTGAAGAAGTCAGTGGACACAGTGGCCACGTGTCTCTGATGGCCTCCTGTCGCCGCTCAGTTACCTCCAGCTCCTGCTTTCCCGCTCAGAAGACTCCTGGCTTAGAAAATGAATTCTGTACCCGCCTCAACAGGAAGAAAATTAGAGCATCCAACCAAGCGTCCTTAGACAGGTCGGGAAACCCAGTCAAGGGCTGAGGATAAGGGGAAGGAGACAGCTGAACAATTATCTACAGAATGAGCCAAGTGGGAGAACGGTAAGGGCAAAGGCCCTGTGGCAGCCACGAGCTCTGGGCATTGCAGGAACAGGAAGACCCACAATGCAGCTGGAGCAAGATGAGCAGAGGACAGAGTGGTGCAGAAGGAGGGCCCGGGGCAGGACAAAATCACAGAGGACCTGGTGGCCCTGTGCAGGAAAACTTTTTAAGCTTTGTTCTCTAGGACAGAAGTCAGCAAACTTTTTCTTGGGAAGGCCTATAGTAGGTGATTTAGACCTTGTGGGCTCTGCTGCAACGACATCATTGTTTATGCTGTTTTAATACCAAAAAATAGTCATAGGAAATATGCAAATGCAGGAGGCCACGTTCCAATAAAACTTTATTTACAAGAACGGGATGCAGGCCTGCCAATGTGGGCCTGATGTGACCTCAAGCCATAATTTGTTGACCCAGTTTTCAGTCATAGGAGGTTATGGTGGGATTTTATGATCTGGCCAGTGTGAGTGGAGGTGCTCTTCATTGTTAAAGGAATCTCTGATCTGGGAGGAGAGTGGATGGCAGTAGGTAAATAGAAATGCCTGTTTTTAAAGACCTGCTATAGAACTCCCGGGAAGTGCTGTGGTCTTGGATTTGGAGGTTAGCAAAGAGAAGGAGAGAGGAAAGACAGATTTGGGAGCAGCCCAGATGGGTTGCCCCTGAGCTTTGTGGCTCTGGAGTATGATTACTAACACTGTCATCTGTACCTTCTTGCTTGTCACAGGGGCTGGCTGGCCTGGAGGCCACCAGACCCAAGCATAAAGCTTTGCAGAAATTACCTTCCTAGTTCACATCACTTAGAAAAGCCCAGGCTGCAATTATAAAGCTTCATAGCTGTGCAGCATCCATAAAAAGAGGTAATTTTAATATTTGGTTCAACTTCAAAGCAGTAACTTAGAATTATATATACCCCATTAAAATATAATGTTTTTCCCCCAAACTAATCAAATGGCTAAATCAATTGTTGGTGGATTGCCAGTGGCCTGAGGATCAATGGGAATAGAAAATGTATTCTATATTTTCCTTGTTACATAGAGTTAGAGCACATATTTTATTAATGTTCATCCTTTAGAGACCAGATTTGTGCGTTCGCTAAAATAAACACTATCGTCTTTGGGGTTTGGTTGGATGGCGAGCACAGAAGAATAAAGGTGAAGACTGGCTCACAGTGAAGCAGACATCCTAGACCCCTCACGGGCTGATGGAAGGTGCCCAGGGCTGGGAAACAGAGACCTGAGTCCTGCATCCACCACTCATGACTTGAATGGCTTTGAAATACGTCCTTTCTCTTAGTCTCTTCATTTGTCAAATGAAGAGCTTAGATATGATCACAAAAGGCAAACAGTCTCTGCACTAATTTAGCTCACCTAGTAGGCACGAATACCTGGCTTTGGAGGGAGGTTTCATGGTTGATATTATTTGTCCACTTGACGAGGCTAAGGATGCCCACGTAGTTGGGTGTATAAGTCTGTTTTGTGTTCCTATAGCAAAATTCCAGAGGCCCGCTAGATTCACATATAAAAAAGGTTTATTTAGCTCACAGTTCTAGAAAGTCAAGGTCCAAGCTTAGGCAGTTCCATTGGTTTCCGTCTCTGATGAAGGCCTCATGGCAGTGTCACATCGTGGTAGGAGTCTCCGAGGAAGAACGAAGAGTAAAGATCATGAACTGGGAAACAGCAGTGTCAGTCTTGGTCTGAGAACCAGGAGTGTTGATTTCCAAGGGCAGGAGAAGATAGAGTGTGTCTTGAGTCAGGAAGCCAGAGAGCTGGGCTTGGGCTTTTATAACAGTCCTGTTGCCAGAGTTGATCCAGCCCCATTAGAAATACCCTTTGGATGGCACACCTCTAGTTGACCTAAGAACCTCCCATTAGGCCCCTCCTCTTAAAGGGTCCACACCAGCTCCCAATACCATCTCTCTGGTGATAGATTTCCTGACAATATAAATCTTTGGTGGGATAAGTATTATGCAGACCTAGCACTGGTAAGATGTTATTTCTAGAAGAGATTTGTATTTGAATCAGAAGACTGAGTAAAGAAAAAGCACTGTCACCAAAGAGTGTTCATCTTCCCATTGACCAAAGTCCCAAATAAAACAAAAAGGTGGAGGAAGGGCAAATTCTCTCTCTACATCTTTTCCTGCCCTTGGACATGGACATGCTGGTTGTCAGGCCCGTGGACTCAGACCAGGACTTATGCCCTTGTTCCCCCAGTTCACGGCTCTTTGGACTTCATCCTAATTATGCCACTGGCTTTCCTTGTTCTCCAGCTTGCAGGTGACTTCCTACCGCACGAGTCATTCCAATCTCTGTCTCTCTGTCTCCCTCTGTCTCTGCCCCCTGTCCCCCCACCTCCTGCCGCACGCACACTCACATTGAGTCTGTTCCTACAGAGGATCCTGTCTAATACAAAGGGCATGCTGTGATCAATTATTAATGTCTGCCATGGACATGGGTGCAGCGTGCTGGAGGTCAGCTGATGGTGATCCCTGCAGGACATGAAGTCTAAAGTCCCTTCTCTTCTAGCAGACTGAGTAAAGGTCTGTTGGTCTGATCCAACCATCCTCCTCTATGACTTGTAGGATCTTTGGCCAGCATTGGTCTGACCGGGCCTCCTGGGGGTGCAGAGAGACCCTGCTCTGTGTTCACTATGCCAAGTGTAAACGTCAAGGTGTGTACGGTGCACCAGGCAGAGCGGATTCAAAGCTTCCTAGCCGTGACTGCAGCCTTGTGTGAGCAGGGCCTGTGGAGAGGGGCACTTAATTTAAAGAAGGTCCATCAACTAACAAAATACAACCTGCGTCCCCCTGACTTTCCCTCTGTATTAGGGGGCAGCCAATCAAGAGGGAGCTCTCTGATCTCTCTTCCCCCGCTGAGCGTCACCTCCTCCTTGGCAGATGCAGGCAGCAGTGATTTCTAGGCAACCAAGAAATGGACAGCAAGGCTATTGGGAAGAGCTCCTGGGGTGACAGGCAGGCTGCAGAATTGGCTCAGAAAAAGGAGAGCGTGTCCTGGAGTAGAAGGGTCTCGTGGGGAGAGTCCAGGTGGCCAACTGGAACTCCATTCTCTTTTCTTGGTAGTGGAGACCTTTGGTTGACAGATGCACACGATGGAGTAGAGAGAAGGTCTCAAAAGAAGGGCTAGAGGCAGACGGCAGCAGAAGGGGGCTGGATGTTGGGACATCAAAACCAGACCGCGCCCGGAGCAGCAGACCCCAGCTCTTCCCTGCGACAGCCAGCCGGTGGGAGTGTCCCGGGTCCCTAGTGAAGGGCCACCGAGGCTGCTGTAGACGGTAGGGTCTGGCCCACCTGCTGTGTTATTTCCTGTGGCTTCTGGGACAGCTCCCCATGAGCTAGATGACTTCAAGCAGCAGAAATGTGTCCCCTCGTGGTTCTGAGGGCAGGAAGTCCAAAACCGTCAGCAGGAACCTGGTCCTTCTGGAGGCTCCTGGGGAGAATCTGTTCTTGGCTTCTCATGGTGACAATTGACATCCCTTGACTTCTGACTCGGTCAGCTCCCTGGTGACATTGCCTCCTCTTCTGTCCATCTCAAATCTCACTCTGCCTGCCTCCCACAGGACACTTGTCACTGGATCAGGGCCTCCATGGATGATCCAGGGTGATCCCTTCATCTCAAGATCCTTAGCTGCGTCTGCAAAGACCCTTGGTACAAAGAAGGTCGCATGCACCAGGTCGGGGATGAGGGGACGCCTTTTCTGGGTCCACATTCAACCTTTTCTCCGATGCTGGACATCCTTCTTCCTCGGGACCTGTCTGCTTCTCTCAGGATTCCAGGGGTGG